GGGGGGGGGGGCAAGGGAGGGCTGGCAGGGGGGGGGAGCACTCACTTGCGGGCGCAACGTGCGGACGCGCCTGCATGCCGCCGAAGCAAGCAACGCCCCTAATCCGTGTAGAAGGCGCGCCTGCTCCGCGCCGCATGCGCGCCGCATGCCTTATAAACGTGCGTCCCTTACCCTCCATCTTCTCTCATCTCATCATTCCCGTGTTCCACCACAGGCGCCAAAAATGACTCTTAAGAAATGTGCAGCACGAACCCTCAGCGATCAACCAAGTACAATTGAGATGAACCCCAAACCCCAAACCCTGATTTGAAACCCCTGCCGCACCTGCTGCTGAAGAAGACGTGCACCGAGGGGTACAGCGGGGCCTTCGCAAAGTCCGCCACCAGACGGGTGACGCTGGCGGGTGACGGCGTTATGAAGTACACCGCTGGCAGCGGCAGCGGCTCGCGAGCCTTCTCAAGGTCCTCCACGACAGACACACCTGGATAGATAGATTTTTTGAATGCAGATACGAAAGTAAGGAAGGTGAGCAGGCAGATGCGTGTGCATGGTGACACGTATGAGGCGGTGCGTGATGGGCGGTGGCCCGCGCCCCTGCTCCTCGTGTATAAAAGTGGAAGTCGGTGATTTGCTTCTTTGGTGGGTGCGGGGAGGAGGCGGCAACTTGCTCGATCTGAACCTGCTGCATGTGCACTATCGGCGATCCCACAAAAACGGCTGACGAGCAGGTCCCAGATCCCAATTACGACCTGCTTGTGAGCCGGTTTGGGGCGTCGAGGTGCAGAGGACCCGCTCGCTGCTCAGGAGCGCGGGCAGCCCCACGCCGGGGCGCACGGCTCCCCACGCCGCTCCGCGCCTAGCCCTCCGGCCACACCCTGCACCTCAGGGCGCCGCTGCGCGCCGCCTGCCCACCCGCCCGCATGGCTCCGGCACTGCTGGCCCCTTGACTGCTTGGTCAGCCCGCACAGGCTGCAGTGCCGCGGGCCGCCGTGCCCATTGATCACCGTTCAGGTGCGCCCGAATGCTACATGCCGCCCCACCCCGCGC